TGGGCACAGCCTGGGATACCCAGCCCAGCCCCAGCCTGGGGATGATTCCCAGTTATCCTGGGCACAGCCTGGGATACCCAGCCCAGCCCCAGCCTGGGGATGATTCCCAGTTATCCCGGGCACAGCCTGGGGATGATTCCCAGTTATCCCGGGCACAGCCTGGGATACCCAGCCCAGCCCCAGCCTGGTGAGGTCCCCACCTCTTGCTGCCTCACTTGAGTTGCTCCAATCTGGGAGTCGGTGCCAAATATCTGGTGGGGAACCCAAGCAGGACCGGCAAGGAGGGATGAAGGAGATGAACTCACGGGTATTTTCCTTCCCTCTCCACTCCTATGAGTCAATCGACCCACTGAGCTGGAGCTGCTGCCCTGCAGAGGTTTGGTTCATGCAGAAGGACCTTGGTGAGCTGGTCAGAATCCTCCTCTCCCTAATGGGAGCTGCTTGGAAGGAGAAAAACACCCTCAGAAGAACCACGGGGAGGGAAGGGGACGCCCCAAGCAAAATAGGTGCTGGGTGTCCTGCAAAAAAACCCACACACGGGTGGTGGTGAGGGCTCCTTGGGGTGGGGAAGCCTTTGGAATGACACAGGCAGGCTCCAGAGCTGAGTCATGGAGAAGGAAAACTTGAAGTCACCTTCCAGATCCCCCTGTGGTCCGAGGAAGAGCCCGATGGGGTGGCCACAGCAGCCTGTGCTGGATGAGGATCCCATCGGCTGCCACGGGACGGTGCCACCCACGGGGCTGGGAGGCACCCTGGCACCGGGAGAAGGATGTCAGGGCTCTTGCAGGATGCCAGACCCTCTACCTGGACCCTCACAGCTCACTCCCACGACTGTTTTGGCACAGGAGCATATGACATATCACATATTAATTACAGCAGCACAACGGTGGGGTCAGGTTTAGGAGGACACAGGGTTTCTGCTGATGCCAAACCAGAGGTGACAATCACTCTGAGGCTCTTTTCCCGGCGTTATCCTTGTACCCCATTATCTTCTTTTGACCCTAAAGAAGGCAGTGTGCTGCTGGCAGCAGCACTATTCCCGGGGGTGGTCGTGACCCTTTGGAATTGCCACTTAAAGCACAAAACCCCAGGAGTGCTTGGCTGCTTCCCGCCGGCCCCGGTGTGTCCCCTCCATCCTGGACAGAAACCACCCTGCTGAAAAATTCCCACTTAAAAAGCCAAAGCATTCCAAGGTGTCCACGCCGCCCCGGACAAGGCGCTGTGCCTGTGTGGCACTGCCCTCTGCTGTCGGTGCCTGTGGGGACACCGGGCTGAGCAGAAAACACCGGGATTTATGTCACCTGAGGCACCTGGGAAGCCACAGCGCTGTCCCAGGGGGATGCCGCGCCCGGGACTGCTGGATGGTCCCCAAGCATGACAGGCAGCAAAGCCCTGGCGGGGTCAGCCCTTCTTGGGCTTCCCTTTTTCCCGGGCTGAAAGCAGAAGTGGGGACTATATTTGGTGCTGCCTCAGCTCGGAAAGAGTCACACAGAGCCCGGAGCATCACCCCGGGCACGGCACCTCCTGTGGGCAGAGGAAATGAGTAACAGCAGGGTCGCTGCCTTTCCATGACCCTCTGCCTTGGGGCTGCCTGGAGGAACAGGAGTTTCCTTCCACGTGCTGGGATCACCAGCTTCTTGGGGACCCGCATGAAAAATGACTCCTCAGCTGTCTTTTCCAGCAGAGAAACGCTCAGGCAAAACCTCCCAGTGATAATATATGACACTGTTTGCCCTTCCCTCCATCAACAGCCTTTTATTCCCTTTTCCAAAGCTGGAAGAACTCGTGGGGGAGGATAAGGACACAAAACACGACCCCAGAGATGGTTCTATCTCCCAAATTCTCCTCAATGAAAGGCCTCTAGATGGGGCTTTAATGCAATATTGCTGCAGGCCTCTGCCAGGCTGGGATGGCCCCCGGAGCCACCCTCCTCCCAGCACCCATGGGGGCACCCAGGGGGGTGGCATGGTGCCACTCACCCCAACCACTGGGATGAGGGAACTGAAATATTCCCAGATCCCGCTGAATCACGTGGAGTTGTGGAAGCTGGATTGGATTTGACACCCCTCCCAGCATGTTTCAGCCCCCACCCCAAGGGTGCTGATCCATGGACACTGTGGGAACCCCAAATCCCATGCAGGGCTGGATGGGTGAAGTTTGAACGGTGTTTTTCCATAAGGCTTTTTTTTTGTTTTGGAAAAGGTTTGGTCAGGAACCGGGTTGAGATGTTTTATACATTAAAAATTAAAACATCTTCTCCCCTCTCACTCCCAAAATAAGCAGAATCCACATGGTTTGCAGCGCTGGGGAGACTGGAAATGCCTGAGTGCACGGCCAGTGCTGGGAATAAATTCCCCAAGCTCCCGGTGTCACTCCAGGAGCTATTCCAGGACAAAAGGTTCATCCTCATTATCCCACCCCCTCTGTGGCTCCTGAATTGGTTTGCCTACAGACTCTGGGGGCCAAATCCACAGATGACACCACCACGATCACCCAAGGTCTCATTTAGGTGCCCAGTTGTCACCTGCTGGGCACGGCTTTGTGGAGCTGAGCTTAAACCCCCGGGCACGGTGGCTTTTGAGAGGAGAGCCCAGTGTGTCCTCCTGCCATCTGTCCCCGTGGGGACAGGGGGTGGCTCAGCAGTGCCACACACACACACGCTCAGGAGGGAAAGCTTTTTGTTCCTGGGTGGCAGCAGCGCTGAAATCACCCCGGGGATGACGATGCCGGCGATGTCACCTGGAAAAACGCTGCCACAAAGGGTGACTTTTAGGGCATTAACCACTTCCCAGCCGCTGCATCACTGCTCAGCTCTTGCCTGCTGGCTCAGCCCTTGCCCACCTTGCCTTTCCATGGCTGTGGAGTCCCTGAAATATTGAGTGGCACGTTTAACCCTTGGACAACAGTGCAGCCCTGGCACAACTGCCCAGTTCTTGCAGGGTGGGTCAGCACTTGTGGCTGCAGCCCTCGTGTGACCACACAGACATGGAACATTTGGTTTCTATGACTGTTTGGCTCTTGCACAGCTGCTCATCCCAGGCATATCCAGCCCCTTCCATGCCTTCCCTACTCTGGCACACCTGCCCCTTGGTTGCCCAACCCTTGCACGACTTGCCAGCTGTCCAGATGTGGCATATCCACCCCTTGCACAGCTGCCCAACTCCTGCACAGCTGCCCGTGTCTGGCACATCCAGCCCTTGCACACCCAGCCCAGCTGTGGCACAGCCAGGCTTTGCACAACTACCCATCCCTGGCACATCCAGCCCTTTCACAACTCCCCAGCCCTTTCTCAGCTGACCAGGTGTGGCAAATCCACCCCTTTGCACATCTGGCCCTCGCCCAGCTCCCCATCCCTGGCCCTTGCACTGCTGCCCATCCCTTGTCCAGCAGTCAATCCGTGGCACATCCACCCCTTGTACACCTGCTCCTGATCCTTGCCCACCTGCCCATCCCTGGCACATCCACCCCTTGCACATGTGGCCCTTGCAGTGCTGCCCATCCCTTGCCCAGCTGCCCATCCCTGGCACATCCACCCCTTGCACATGTGGCCCTTGCAGTGCTGCCCATCCCTTGCCCAGCTGCCCATCCCTGGCACATCCACCCCTTGCACAACACCCCGATCCTTTCACAAGCACCCAGACCTGGCACACGCAGCCCTTTTACACTTGGCCCTTGCACTACAGCCCATCCCTTGCCCAGCTGCCCATCCCTGGCACATCCACCCCTTGCACAACACCCCGATCCTTTCACAAGCACCCAAACCCGGCACACGCAGCCCTTTCACGCCCGCCCCTCGCACTGTTTCCCACCTCTTCCCCGGCTCCCAATCCCTGTGCCACCCACGCCTCGCACTCCCACCCTCGCACACCCACCTTTGCACGCCCACCCCTCTCCCCCCCCCATCCCTTCCCCGCCCATCCGCACCGCACCCATCTGGGTGCCCCCCTTTTCCCGGCTCCCTCTCCCTCTCCCGCTCGCTCTCCCCGCCCCGGCGCTCCGTCCCTCCCCCGGGGGGGTGTCCCCTGCCGCCGTCCCTCCCCCCCGGCCGTGTCCCGCCCCCGGCCCGCCCCGGCCGGCCGCGCTCTCGGTGCCGGCCGCGCTATAAGAAGCGGGGCGGGCGGCGGGGCCGCAGCGGGCGCGGCGGGGGAACGAGATGAGCAGCGCCGGCGCCGCTGCAAGATGCTGGATGGACACGTCCTGCTGGGATGGCTCTCCTCCTGCGCGCTCCTAGGGCTGCTCGCCTGCGCCCCGCGGCCCTCCGCCGCCTACTTCGGGTAGGTGGCCCCCGTGCTCCTGCTCTTCAACTTTTATTTTAGTTTTTTTTTTCTTTAATGCGTTTTATACTTTTTATTTTTTTTTTTTAATGAGCCTCGTCCGTCCCGCCCGAGGCGGGGATGCTGCCGCGCTCCTTCCCCTCGCTGGGTGCGGGCATCCCGGGATGACAGCCGGCACCGGCGCGCCCGTCCCGCTTCCCACCCGCTCCCAGCCGGGGGGCCCCCCCCCAATCCTTCCCGGCCGCCCGGGCCCCCCCCC